GTGAACGCAATATATGATTTTCTGCCGAAAAATTAGGAATAAGAATCAGAAGCAAAAGTTCCTTATCAAGAGTAACAGTATCAGCTGCAGCGCCGCAACCAGTGGCGGTGCCATCAGCATCCGGCGACAGAACACATTTTTTACCTCACCGTATTACCAACAGCGTTCTGTTTTTTATGCGTTTGGGCAGTTGTTTTTCCGATTCAATGTCCATCAGACTCCGATGCATCAAGTGGTTGGCCACAGCATTGATCGACAACACTAAGAGATTACAAGCGCCAAAAAAAAACACGTAGAAAGGGAACAGAGATGGAGAGAGTATTACCAATGGTCTCTTTAAAAAAAATATCGCGTAGGACCATGGAATCACACGCCTTCAAACTTGCATTTCATTCGTCTACTCAATCAAATTTTTCTTTCATAACGAACTGTTTGATTGAAATTTCATGAATTGATACCGGAAAGGAAGTTAATATAAATAATTTTGAACGAGTAAAGAAAAGATTTGAAACTTTTTTTTTTAACATTTCCTGTTAAATGATTCTTGTTTTGACTTCCTGTGTTATCCCCTATCTAGAGCTCGGTGGTCCCGTCTAAACAGTTCAAATGAAGAGACGACAACTTGTTGAGTGGAAAATGACGTAAATCATTTTCAGGCACTTGTTTGCAAGAAAATGGCGAAAAAACACCCGCCTTTTCTAGCTATCAAAATGACACAAGGATTTGACGGTATCAGAAATACATCAACTGAATCCATTTTTACAGAACCCACTAAGTACGCTAAATAAAACTTTTTGATGGGAATTTGCTCCAAAATAACTTTTTCCCTTTTTTTTTGGTCAGTATTAATCGCTTGTTTAAACACAAATATTCCAAATAACTTTATTCATTTGCAAACCAAACAACTGTCATGATGAATCATTTCGCTCTCGTTCCAGTACAAAATCGCCGCCAAGATAGAAGAACCAAATAATCAAGCTTTTGCAAAGGTACAAAGAGTTAAACCAATGCGCTTGTTTTTTAACGAATGAAAGATTGTTCATTATTTCGGTAAGTTACTGAAGAAGAAAGCCAAATACTAACCGAAGATGAAAATTAGTAGACCAAGAGGGCAGGGGGAGGAGGGAAAGAAAAAATAGAATTCTGCACATTAGTCTACTAGAGGCTTATAATACAACACCTTTACTGGGGAAGTTTACCATTTAAGTAAGGCCACTGCCGTAAACTATAGAAATTTTCCTACCAGCAAACTTGCACTTTGAACGACACACTTCAACAGTTCTAGTCTATCAGTTGGATAACTGGTAAAACAAAACACTGATTGTCGAATAATAGTGATATCTCAAATAACGAAACTCTTCAAACACCAATCATTGTCAACAAAGATTATTTGCTTCTCAGCACAAAAAACGTCAATAATCCGCAGTAATTACTGTTTAAAAATTGTTTTATTCAACTTCAATATTAAATATTATCACTATCGTAATTCAGCACCGTACAACAACTAATTCAGCATTAGAGCTACAAACTACCTGTGTCTCGCCGTAGGCTGTAAAAAATAAAAAATTACCTTTCAGTGTACAATAATTTTACAATGATGTTGAGACAGTTGCTCGATCAAACTGAAGCTTAATGCCAAAATTTAGAGACTGCATCAGCAGTAGCAGCAACGATACCACCATCAGTAATAACGTTAACAGCAGTCACTGTCTCAGCATAATTAATGAATAACATTTAAAGAATCTAGAGTGTCTTTAAATAGCAAGCTAAATATTGCTGTTTCGTGGATTTCAGAACAGTTACTGTAGCAAAAAGACTACGTCAAAAGAAGCAAAAGAAAAAATAAGGCAAATTAGACTTGACAAAAACAGAAGGAAAGTATAAAAATAATTAACTAACTGTTACAAAGCCACAAAGAATTATATTTGAGATTCTAATACGCCATTTTTACAATTGCAAATGGCGAAAAATTTAGAGAATAATAAAGAAGACGCAGATGGTAAAAAGTTCGTGAATACCAATAGTGTCAACTGGTTGATTAATAGGCAAAAAGCGACAGCAACAACACTATAGAACCAATAGTCTAATCTATAAATTTTTATTACTTTTACAGTTTTTTTATGACCCCCTCATAATAACTGTGCGTTTCAGATTTTCAGCTAAAAACAAAGGCAATATAAAAAGCAAAGCTGTTTCTTCCAGTGCCTGTACTCAAAAACCTTTTTTTTGTAGCCCACAAAACATACTTTGCAATTTTTATTGCCCTTAAAAATCAATTGAAGTATTCGAAAAAAGTTTACAAGTTTGTTGTTATAGATGAGAAATTAGTACGATCAGTTATTTCAATTACTGGCCACTGTCCTGTAATTGAAATAACTGAATAAAGCACAACTATTTACTTTCCAAATAAAATAGACCAAGAATTGTACAAGTGATGTATATATGTGCACACGTTTACCAGTGAATTGGTAACTAAATAAAAGTACAGATTTTTGCCATTCCAAAATGCAAATTTTCCTTTAAATCTAACAAATTTGTTATTTTCGTTACTGTTGCTAATACCGCTGCCGTCGCTGTTGCTGTCATCATAAGACGTTGCCAAATGGAAATAAACTGCTTAAAATTTGTCGGCTTCTATTCCAAAAAGTAACTGCACATAGAAAATAAATTGTTACCGCTTTTTGAAAGGTAAATTGCTATTACTTTTTTCCTTCCCTACTTCTTTTTACGACACCTTCCGCAAAATAATAAAAATTATTTAAAATTTACCGTTTAAATTGGTTAAAAGCAAAATTGCCGTAAAAAATGTCTTATTTTTCCAGTCAACTGGCATAAGGAAATAAATTCGATCTGTAAAAATAAAATCCAAATAAGCGTCTGTAAAAAAAAGAATTGTGAGATTAAACTTTTACGGATTCGCAGGATTATTCAGGTAACTTTCTTCATCAACGATCAGTAAACAAATAGAACATTAGATAACAATTTTGCGGGTTAATTTTATATCTTTCCTAAAGCTGAAAGAAATATCCATTAATTATAACTCTGTAAAGAAAAAATAAAACCAAAAAATAAAGTCGCATTAAAAATCCTCGTGAGTTTGCACTGTGATTTTCGTACAGCCACAACTTTAAACGAACTTGGTCTCATCAGTCAAAACAGGCACCATTATTAATTGCGCAAGACACCCAGCGTTGTTCCAAAATGACGATAAGATAAGAATCTGCAGGTCTACATGCCAGAAAATCTTCATAGACCTCTTGTACATTCATCTACTTCAAAAAAATTGACAAAAATGAAAGTAATTAACCAACAGAAAGTCCTATTCCCGGTACTTCTGTTCAAAAAAAATTTACAGTTATCAGGTATAAATCATCCCAAATTCCAACCAACCTCCTTCATAAAAAGTTTTTAGGAAAGAATACAAAGTAAAGTCTGGCGATATTGGAACAACAAAAACTAGAATAATTTCGGGAGCCAATAAGATCTTTCTTGGAAAACCAAGGTCTCAACAGTTCCAACAAAAGCTGTTTATCAGTGGCCGCTAATTTCAATCTGACCATACTGACGCTGACAAGCAAAAGCAGAACAAAAAAAAAAAATTAAAGTCAGGTTTTTCCAACGGAAAACAAACTAGTAAATTTTCCATCTTGAAAAAAATTCTAACTTTTCGTTACCATCAAATTTTGAAGAATTAGCATAAAAGACTAATCAAATTTTGCAAAACTTCTGAAGAATCGCATAAAATTTATCCTTCAAAAAAAAAAAAAA